GAGAAGATGGAAAAGAGGAGGGGGGGAGGAGGGGGGAAGGAGGAGAGAGAAGGAGAAGGGAAGAAGAGGGGAGGAGAAGGTGGAAGAGGATGATGCACGGACCAGCAAAGCATTCGTCGAGACCACTGTGTAAGACGAGTTACATGTACAGGATATATGATATTATAAAAATATAAATACTGTATAAATATATTGTTCATAAATGCGATCCATACGTGGGAGCGGAATTTGATGGGCCACTGCCAGCCAACAAATGTGAGGAGATGTCCCTCCCTCGGGACATCCGTTACGAGTATGGGATACGATACAGAGAGAGAAAGAAGATTCACATGGCCCCTGCGCAAGGATGATGGCACGCATGAATCGAGAAAGGGTCCATTTTTTTTCATTACAAAAAAAAAAAAGAAACAGATGTCAGGAGACGAGCGTGTGAAGAACACACAGGATGATGTGGCTATGTATCCGCGGATCCTCAAGAAATGGATTCATTTTTTTACGTATTAAAAAAAAAAAAAACAGGATGACTGACCGACCACCAACGGGCCAAGCTCAGTTGGTACACCCATCAACTGTCGAAATACAGACCCACGCAAATTCCAACCCGAAACAACCAGATGAACAAAATTAAAAAAAAAAAATTCACAATAAAATAATTCTGAAATTAGTAAATTACCTGGTGGCTCCGTCAGCTCCATGCTACGTAGTAATATCTTCAGGCTGTTGCCCTTCATTAAAAAAAAAAAAAAAAAGAAAAGAAAAGAAAAAAAGAAACAAAAAAACACCCCAAAAAAAAAAGATGACGTGTCCAGGATGACGTGTCGAGCATGATGACGTGGATATCTAGTGACTGAAAATTTCCTCGACAGATCCAGGTCGAGAACGTGGACGTAATCCTCGACAGATGCATGTTGACGATGACGCGGCAGATGACGCCTCGAGGATGATCATGTGGAGGATCACGTGTGGAGGATCACGTGTCAATAATAAAAAAACGATTGGTGGACATCAATTTGGCTGCTGGTGTTTTTTTTTGTTTTCCTTCCTCTCTTTTCTTTTTTTTTTTTTGGAAAAGCCCGATGGCCTTGAGGTATCATCGTCAACCGACTAGCCCGAGGTAGCTCTTTTTTTTTTTTTTTTTTAACAAAAAAAAGGCCCTGAGGGCTTCATATTACTTCAAAGGTAATCCTGAGGCCGAGGGCCCGACGTAATTCAGAATTACTATTATTATTATTATTTTATATTATTCTTATTATTATTATACTCATCTGCATCCAGCAGAGTCCGAATGGCCATTTTTGTCGTCGGGACACAGCTTAGGTCCCGCGTGACAGCGGTCCCAACGTCTGCACCTAAGCTGGGAAGTGGTCCTAGTGACTTTTCTTCTACTCCTGGTTGTTTGTTGAGGGATCCCCGGCCTCATTTATTTTTATTTTTTTTATTTTTTACTCCCCGGCCTCATTTTTCGCGTTTGCAATATTTAATTACCGTGCGTCGTATTCTGCGGAGGACGGGCAGGCATGCAATTCATCCTCCACGTCATCCTCCGCACGTGATCCTTTTTTTTTTTTTTTTTTAATTCGCTGCTGCTCACATTTTATTATTATGCAAACCCGGCCTCATTTTTCGCGTTTGCAATAATAATAAAATGTGAGCAGCAGTGAATTAAAAAAAAAAAGAAAAAAAAAAGGATGACGACGTGGAGGATGAATTGCATGCCTACCCGTCTTTCGCATAATACGACGCACGGTAATTAAACCTGCATTTGGCGTAACTTTCAGTCTAGATACGACCATCATGACGGCACGTTCAATTCGGAGGAAGACGTAATGTCTATCTCTGTTCATGGGCCCACTTTCAGTCTAGATACGCACTTGGGGCAACTTTCCGTCTAGATACGGCCTCCGTCACTGCACCTGTCTATAGCCACATCTAGCTAGAGGGGTTCATGTTGAGCAGGGTTGCTCCCAAGGAGGATTGTTCCCTCCTTTTTTTTTTTTCTTTTTTTTTTTTTTCTTTTTTTCCTTTTTTTGGGTGAGTCGTGTATGACGACGAGGGTTAGTGATCGAGAAGGTCGTTCTTCAGATGCTGCGTAGCTTTTTTGCTCCTTCTGTTTTTTTTTTTTTTTTTTTTTTCCCGGGGGGGGGGGGGGGGAAGGGGGCGCGTGTGTGAGTGTATATCAAACTACTTCCCAAAGTTCTTTTTTCTTTCGTTGTTTGTTTATTTCGCCCGGGGGGAGCTTTTCGTTGTTTTTTTTTTTCCCTTTTTTCTCCTTTTTTTTTCCTCTGTCTCCGTGTGTACGAGTAAATGCATAACTCCTCTGACTCTGAATCACGGAGCTTTTAGTGTTTTTTTCCCCCCCTTTTTTCTCCTTTTTTTTTACGTAATCTCCTTTTTTTTCCGTTTGTGTGCGCGGGAGTGTGTAAACTCTTTTTCATTTTTTATTATTTTTTAAGTTGTTTTCCTTTTCTTTTCTGTTGCGCGTTTCAAACTGAAAACAGAAAAGAAAGGAAAAAAAAAAAAAAAAAAAAAAAAAGACCACTGAGAACTGTGTCGCTGGACCCGCTTTCCAGCAGACGGTGGTCCCCACCAAAAGATGGAGCCTTCCAAAGAGGCCCGTTTAGTCTGTCTTTCTGAAATGTGCTATTCCCGTTCAGTCTGTTGTTTTTTTTTTTGGTTTTTTTTTTTGGGAAGGGGGGAGGAGCGGCGGGGGTACCATTTCTCCATTTCTCGATTTACGCGTGTCATCCTTGAGAGTGTAGGGACCATGCTAAACTTCTATCTCTCTGTATCATTCAAATTTTGTTAACGAATGTCCCGAAGGCCAAAGTAGTCAGTATTTCTTAAATGTGCTATTCCGTCCGTTTAGTCAGTCCGTGTTGCTTAAATGTGCTATTCCGTCCGTTTAGTCTGGGTCTCTTAAATGTGCTATTTTGTTGTCTGTGTTTCTTAAATGTGCTATTCATTTGTGTTTGTTTGTGTTTCACTGTGTTTGCAGTTCAGGTAGACACACACACACACACACACACACACACACACACACACAGAGAGGGAGAGAGGGAGACAGACAGACAAACAAACAGACAGACAGAGAGAGAGAGAGAGAGAACAGAGAGCGAGTGACAGAAAGTGAGCGAAAGTGAGAGAAAGAGCCATGACATAGAGAGGGCCAGAGAGACAGACTGACTTACTCTCAGAGAGAGAGAGAGAGAGAGAGAGAGAGAGAGAGAGAGAGAGAGAGAGAGAGAGAGAGAGAGAGAGAGAGAGAGACAAAGAGGGGGAAACAGAGACAGGCAAACAGACAGACAGACAGACAGACACCGACATAGAAAGAAACATAGACACACACACACACACACACACACACACACACACACACACACAGACTGACAGAAAGAGGCGGAGGTGCGGGGGGAAGAGAGAGAGAGAGAGAGCCACAGAGAGAGGGGAAAAGAAAGAGGAAGGGGGGGAAGGGGCGGGGCGGGGAAGGAGAGAAAGAGAGAGACCTTGAGAGTGTCGACCTCTTCTCTTAGGCTGTTGATGGTATCTAATATGGCCCCACGCTCAGACTGCCACTTGGCTTCAGCTGCAGCTCTCCTGGATCGCTCGTCGTCCCACTTCTCCACGTTGACGTCACCCGACCACGCCCAAGGGTACACATTGCTTCTCCCTCCTTCACCCCCACCATCGCCGCCATTGCCATTGCTGCTTTCATCTTCCTCCGCTTCTTCTCCCTTCTCTACCGAAGATCCCTTCCCACCATCTCCACCTCCACTCTTTCTCCCCATTGCTTTATTCCCGTTCTTCCTTCTTCCTACCTCTCCTCCCTCTCCTCCCTCTGCTCCCTCTCCTACCTCTCCTCCCTCTTCTCCCTCTCCTGCCTCTCCCCCCCCCTCTTCTCCACCTCGTATTCGCCCGCGATGACCACGATGTAACCGACCTTCTCTCTGCAATGCTCCTCCTCCTCCTCCTCCTCCTCCTCCTCCTCCTCCTCCTCCTCCTCCTGGCGCTGAGGAGGAAGACGACCTCATTGCCCCAAGCTTCTCTGCTGTTCTTCCTCCTCTTCTTCCCTCCTCCTCCTCCTCCTCCTTCTTCTTCTTCTTCGCCGCCGAAACTTGTGTTTGTACAAACTTGCCGCCATCTCCACTTCCTCCCACCTCCTCTTCCACCTCATTACCATCACTCACATCGTCATCAATGTCCTCGCCTTCTCCATCTTCGTCAGCCTCTTCTTCGTTTCGCCGTCCTCTCACTAACTCCTCTTCCTCCTCTTCCCCCTCCTCCTCCTCCTCCTCCTCCTCCCCCTCCACATCATCAGCATCATCATCCTCACCTCTTTCCACACCTCTTCTCCTTCCCGCCAAGGCTCCATTCGCTCCTGCAGTCGTGCCCAATCCTCTCACAACACCCACTCCTCCTCCTCCTCCTCCTCCTCCTCCTCCTCCTCCTACCTCCCTCCGTCGCCGAGGGCGTTCCGACTCATTGCCATCCGAAGAGAGAGATCCCGATCCCGACGAAGAAAGAGTTGACGGCAACTGCATTCGATAAGCACACTGCACGGCGGAACACGGCGCGACCAGCTGGACTGGGTCTAAGGCTGAAATCATCCCCCCTCCTTCTCCCTCTCCTCCTCCTCCTCCTCCTCCTCCTCCTCCTCCCCCCCCCACCCTGTTACCAGTCCTGCGTACATAGAGCTCTGTCTCCCATTTACACGTGGAGGGGGTGCTGAGCTGGTCCTCTGTGCTGCTGCCATCTGTCAACAAGCGATCGAAATGCAGTCCGTCGCCCAGGAGCTCTGGCCGCTCGTCCCGGTCCCGACGATGTTGGCGATGACGGCGATCCCGGCGAAGACGAGGGCGATGTCGGCGAGAGGGATCGGGCGATGACGTGGCACAGCAACTTCCCGACAGCCCAACGGACAGACAGAGAAATGGATCCATTGGCGGCAACTGCCACCACCTCCCTCTCCCATCTCCCCCTCCCCCTCCTCCTCCTCCTCCTCCTAGCTCTCCTTTTGGGTGTAGGCGGCTGGCCGCTCCTTGGTCCCGACACCGGTTCCAGTTCCAGGTCCTGTTCCAGATCCAGTTCCAGTCCCAGACCAACCGACCGCCAGATCGCCGCGATCCCTGTGCTTGCCACAAAGGGCCATGGCTAGAGGATGGGGGAGAGAGGTGGGATGGGAGAGGGAGGTGATTACGGTGGGTGCTTCTGACGAGGTCGACTAGACCATCGCCGTGTGGTCGATGTCGATGTGAGCGACAGCTGGATGAATGCCACGCGGGACGGGACTCAAATCCAAGGCAGTCCCGATCGGGACTTGTCCTATTACAACAGCTAATTACTTTCCCTTTTAGAAGGTCGGTCGGATTTCCACTTTTGGAAGGTCGGAGAAGAACAGGGGAGCGGGCAGAGCTAACGGCATTAAAAGAAGAACGTGAAGAACAGCAAAGAGAGGAAGCCAAGGAGGAAGGAGGAGGAGGAGAAGGGGAAGGAGAAGAAGAAGGAGAAGGTGGGGAGAGCCGCGAAGGCTGGACTTCAGAGCGACCAATCCCTTGCGCGAGGCTTGCTGATGCCTGCCGCACAACGGACAGACAGGCAGTGGCTTCCACCATTCTCTCTCTCTCTCTCTCTCTCTCTCTCTCTCTCTCTCTCTCTCTCTCTCTCTCTCTCTCTCTCTCTCTCTCTCTCTCT